AAATTAATGCAGAAATCTACCCACCAAAAATAATATCCACGAATTTTTTTATTCACACTGTATATAATTTTTAAGACCAAACACACTAAAGAACAACATTTAGGGCACGCCATGTGCCCTCCAACCCCTATTGTTCAGCCGCTGATTGTAAGCATTGAAATAATTTTATTGCTCCTCGTAAAATTTTAATGACCATCCAAATCTGAAGTTATTTAGTCACGTTCCTTCTCTTCAAAGACCTTTCTTCCGAGAAACGTATAACTATCAACTTATTTATATTTACATAGAGCCCTTTTCAACACATGCAATAATAAAAATGATAAAAGAAATTGTAAAATACTGGGACGGTCGAAACGTAGGGATTTACAAAACGACATAAAAAGAATGTATTCACTAGCAATAAATCATGGAAGGGGGTGTATATTTTTAAGGAATATATGGACAAACAGTATTATTTTGAAATTGTCACCAAAATCAATTTCTTATAATATCCATCGTTGTAAAATATGCATCAGTAAAACGGTTAATCTTTACTTATTTATTCAAAAATCCTTATCAGTGTATTGTGTTATCGTTCGTGTTTTATCATGTTTTGAATAATACATTTGGTACAGGACTTTTCAATTTCGATAACAAACAAACTAACGCTAAAAACAAAACTTTGAAAAAACAATTCGCAAGAAAATTCATCAGCGTTTCGTTTGTTTAATAGTTGGCAAACCTTTTTTTCTCAGACAGATCGTCATTCGAATCTAAAAAAAAAAAACGACGACCTGAAGTGTTTGAAAGATTGCATAATATTTTTCTTTACTATCAGAAAAAAATAAGATTCAGATATGAAAATGAGTACCTGGAATTGGGCGAGGGAAAAGTGATTAAAAATTTAGAGGTAATTTTAGCAAAGATCTTTCAACTTTCTACACTTTAATCAAATTATTGTATGCTACGATCAATAGTTGATGTAGTAAAGAAAACTTTAGAATTAACTTGTCGGTATTTGCAGTCAAAGTCCGAATAGGTCCGTTGTTATACAGTGTATCCACTTAAGTTGGCAGCATATGGGAAACTTTTTTATTATTAACTTTACGAAAAAAAGTTATTCTTCATAAAAAGTTCTGCATGTTCTAAAACCTAAAATGCAACTATCAGATATCAAATTTTTACAATAGTATAAGAGGTATGTCAAATAATATGATTTTTTTTGAAGAGTACCTTTATTTTTGAGAAAACTCGTATACTATTATGACAGGCAAAAGCGTAACATCCTGTATATCCAAAAATATTTTCAAAATATGCCTTTTTAAAGTCCATATAAATCTTATTTGAAACGTGTTTGTGTGCCTGCAACACAAATTGATTTATCGAGCAGTTACGCACTAATGGAACGCCCTGTATTAAGTTTGTAGATATATTATATATAATGGATAATTGTGCATCTTTTCAATAGGTACGTACCTAATGTAATTTTAACGACTTTGGATTATAAATAACAGGAAATATACTTATTTGTTAACAGTCTTTATCGATCTGAATAACGAAAAAGAAAGAATTCTTACAATATACAAGGTGTTTCAAAAAAACATGAGACAAATGATACAGCTGATAAAATTCTGAAAAATAAGTAGGGTTTGAATAATAAACGTATGTTCTAAGATTCTTCATCATTGTGTAAAATTTAAAAATTAATATACAGAGTGGTCCAACGATAATTTGACCTACCAAAAAAACCAGAATCAAAGGAGTTTCATAAAATTTAAAAACCAAGCCAAATTTTAAAAGCAAGGGGACGAATTTTTATATAAAATTCATACTTAAAAAATAAATTATTGTTATTATTATAAATACAAAAAGGATTGAGGTCTAGTAAGACCTATGAGTCCAGATACCAAGTTAAATTAACTGGACCAAATCAGCCGAATTAACAAAATTAAACTAAATTAATTAAATTATATCAACTTAATTAAATAAATCAAATCAATTAAACAAATTAAATCAAATCAATTAAGTCAATTAAACCAAACTAAAACAATTAAACTAAATAGAATTAATTAAATTAACTAAACCAAATCAATCAAATTAAATTGGATAAAATAAAATATCGTAATACATATAAATTAAAATTGCAATAAAAAAATTAACAGCTTATACGCATACATTTTTAACCCTGTAGAAATTTATCTAGGCTTGAAGCCCTTTTTTATTTTTAAATATCAAGTATGGTCTTATTAAAAATGACCATTAATTGCAATGCTTTTGATTTTAGCGCCCTCTAGCGGGATAAAAAAATGTTGCGTATTATAAAGTTTATAAAGCCAGCATACATTTGTTATTTTAGTTGATTGCAATGAAAGTTTTATTTCTTAACGTTAGAGATCTGCACGATTTTTCAATTATTTAAGTTCATGTATTACTAAATTATATTTTGTTATATTGTGCATTAAATTATTAATAAAATTAGCGTTCAAATGAAGTGTCACAATTTACAAAATACGTAAGAGCTTTCTATCCCACCAGACAACGATAAAATCAAAAGTGACGCAATGAATAGTCATACTGCTGAATTCTCCATAAAATTAGCTTTCAAATGATGTATTACTGGGCTATACTTGCTATTTTAAAAAAAAATAGGGTGCTGCAGCCGGGATCAAGGAGGTTTGATTTTTCAGTATGAATTTTATATGACAATTCGTCCTCTTGACAATAAAAGTTTTTTTTTTAATTTGAAAAACTCCTTTGTTTTCCAATTTCTTAGGGCCAATTAATCGTTGGGACGTCCTGCTAAAATATATATAACTAACTAAAATACATGTTTTTTGTTTTTGTTTTCCTTTTTTTATTTTATTTCGTTTATTATTTATTTCGTTTGTTATTTCGTTTATTATTAATTTCGTTTATTATTTATTTCGTTTATTAATTCTTTTATTATTTCGCTTATTATTTCGTTTATTATTTATTTCGTTTACTATTTATTTCGTTTATTATTTATTTCGTTTATTTATTTCGTTTATTATTAATTTCGTTTATTATTTCGTTTACTATTTCGTTTATTATTTCGTTTTCTATTTCGTTTATTTATTTCGTTTATTATTAATTTCGTTTATTATTAATTTCGTTTATTATTAATTTCGTTTATTATTAATTTCGTTTATTTATTTCGTTTATTATTTATTTCGTTTTTTATTTATTTCGTTTATTATTTATTTCGTTTATTATTTATTTGGTTTATTATTTCGTTTATTATTTCGTTTACTATTTCGTTTATTATTTATTTCGTTTATTATTAATTTCGTTTATTTATTTCGCTTATTATTTATTTCGTTTATTATTTATTTCGTTTATTATTAATTTCGTTTATTTATTTCGCTTATTATTTATTTCGTTTATTATTTATTTCGTTTATTATTAATTTCGTTTATTATTAATTTCGTTTATTTCGCTTAATATTTATTTCGTTTATTATTTATTTCGTTTACTATTTATTTCGTTTATTATTTATTTCATTTATTATTCATTTCGTTTATTATTTATTTCGTTTATTATTTCGTTTATTTTGTTTTACACCCATCGGACCCTCTTTGCAATCACACTAATTGGGACATCCTGTATATATTTTTTTAATTAATTTGATTGATCTAAAATATATATAACTATATGTTTTTTGTTTTTGTTTTCCTTTTTTTATTTTATTTCGTTTATTATTTATTTCGTTTATTATTTATTTCGTTTGTTATTTCGTTTATTTATTTCGCTTATTTATTTCGTTTATAATTTATTTCGTTTATTATTTCGTTTGGTATTTCGTTTGTTATTTCGTTTATTATTAATTTCGTTTATTATTTATTTCGCTTATTTATTTCGTTTATTATTTCGATTATTATTTTTCTCCCATCTCTAATCGGTACAAAGAATTTTAGAAACATTTAAATGTAAAAACAACATCAATCTTTACATATTTTCATACTTAAACTTATGTAAAGATAGTTTTGAAATGGGTTAAAAAAAATAAAAGATGGATTTTTAAGTGCCGAAACTTGATTTTCTTCCAATGATTATTCATTTAAATACTATATAATAAGAATAATCTCATAACGAGATCATCTATAAGCATCAATACCGCGGTATGTTATATTTACAGTTACTAACAGATCATTCTGTGCTCGACTGATCCTAGCGGTGCCGAAAGGCGGTAACCAGTACTGGCTGTACAGTAGCACTTCGATATATCGAATAATTTATTGAAATCCGCGCCCAACATAAATTCATTAAACGAGTGTGAATAACAGTTTTACAATGGAACTGGTTCTCTTGCGCAGTGATCGTAGAAACTGCTAACAATTACAATTATTATTATTTTTTTCTTCTATCCAAACACGGTTGTAATTCTTTCCAATTCGGTAGCTAATTGAAAGTTGTACGTTATTGCAGTTGTCAGGTTTAATAAAAAAAAAAAAATTAGAAGAACAGGGTCAGAGTAGCGCACGTGTCCGATTGAGAAATTTCAATTTATGATAGTTATTTAAACTAGCAAAGACAATTATTTCTTACGAGTAGTTAATTTATTAATTTCTCTAAGATCTGTTCAGATACACAGCGGCAACTAAAATTCACGAGGCTAACAAAATGTTGAATATCGTATGAAAAGATTTAAAATTTAAGGGTGTTGGTAACAGCATAGTAAAATCCTATTTGTTACTTAATCCTTGCATTTATTTAAATTTGTAAAATACTACTTGTTGCTTAAACATTTCATTTACTTAAATGTGCTCATTTTATATCTTTTTTATTTGATTAAAGGTAAGTAATGTTTGGTTTCTAAATTTTTATGAGCTAGTCAAAAGTGTTTTTAAAATTAACAGGCTTATTTCAAATTAACGCCGTTCTATTACAAATTGGCGCTCCAACGTGCTGATGTTCTATTACAACAGTCAAAAGTTATTTGTAATGTATAGTTTCCAAATGAACGCCCTACATATTTGAGTAAGAAACACTAAATCACTTACCTTTCTTAACATGTCGTTACCCGTCGAACTGGAACTCTTCGGCGGCTCAGACTGTCCAGCTATCGACCCGGCTCGACTCAACGACCCCCTAGGACTGCCCCTGTTATCGTTCCTCAAACTCTCCTCGTCCGGCTGGTTCAACAGCTCCTTCAATATTCGATCCTTCTTATCGTCCGTATCGTTGCCGACGTTTTGGGGCTTCGTAAGCAAATTCCTCAACTTGTTCGAGTCCACCATTGCCATGGACGCCTCCTCCAAGACATTCGCTTTGGAGTCTTTCTGTTCTCCCATCGAAAACCCTTGGTCGTTCATCGAACCGAAGAAGTTCCCGCCGTAGGGGTTGCTGGCGACGGGCGTGGGGGGATTGGTCATCGTCGGGCTCGGTTGGGAGGAGAAGGGGGATGATTGTACAGCGGTGGGGGCATTGCTGTACGAGGGGTTGCTCGGCGGGCGAGGAGTTGGTGTGATGCTGGTCCTTGAATCTGGTCTACCTGTTGGGGAGGAAAATCAGAATGGAATTTCAAATAGAAAGTGTCTCTAGATCAGTCTACGTTGGGTAAATACTTGTAATAAATATGGTTAGAGAAAAGGTTGTATACGTATCCAGTTCTAACCTGTGAGCCAAAGCATTAATCAGTTACCACCCTTGAGGTAAAGATTCTGATCTCCAATCTTGTAGATTTGGAGAAAATATGGCCCACAATTGGAAATACGACTTTTTACCTCTTTGAAAAATTTATTACAAGATAAAAAAGACTCATTAGTACTAAATGAAACTAAATGTAGATATTGAAGAATCCAATGAAAGAATCAAAGACAGTGGACAAGATAAGCAAGTTGTAAGAGGATTTCAACAACAAAATGGTATAGTCCAATGGTAAATATAAGTTTGCTAAGAATACTAGTAGCATTATCAGTCCAATAGTACATTCTTAAAAAATTCTACATAAAAACAACATTCTTATATGGATGACGAAAAACTATACATGTCAATTTCTGAAGGCTATAAAGTAAAACAAAATAAAATATGTCGTTTCAGAAAAGCCCTATACAGACTAAAACAAGCAACACTTAGATGGAACAGACATTTTACAAACTTCCTGAAACAAAGCGGATTGAAACAATTAAAATCTGAACAATTTATATTCAAAAACTTCAACCAATGAAGAAATTGATATCTACCGAAGAAACATATGAATTAATTGGGTCAAGTAATTCGGATTTGACAAGGGACACTGAATCGAGAAATAGTACCTAATCTATTTTTGTGGTGGACCGATCAATTGGTGTTCAAGAAAGCATCCTGTGGTACCACTACCACCAGCACTGAAGCAGAATATATTGCACCTACTAATTGTGTTAAAGAATTGTTATACTTAAACTTTTAGACATAAAAATTAACCAAAATGCTTGAAAATTAAATTAAATATCAGCTTCATGTGTTTTAGTGAATGCATTATCTTCATTTGATTCTTTACCACCAAATAATCAATAAATTTAACTGTACTTTACCTTCTGGCCAACTGGTGGATTCCAGCTCCAAAGTTGACGAAGGGAAGATATCGAAGTTGAACTCGTTGTCGATGAAGGTACTGAAGTTGGTATTGGTGTTCAGAAGAGCATTAGCGAAGCTGTCGCCACCGGAACTGAGTGGCGCTCCATTTCGGTTGCCATTTACCACGCTAGGCATCAAAGGCCCGCCTACGCCCGTGTTTGAAGGATTGGTGGTACCGCTCGCCGATTCCGTCTGGCCTCCTAGATCGTTCTCGCTGAAACAAACAATCGAAATTAGAACCATAATGATGAAACAAACAATCTTGACAAACGGTTCATTTTGTTTCACTAAAACGAATGATTTTGAACATTACTATGTAAACAATCGTGCGTTTGTGAAGATGCTGTTCAAATAATGTATAATATATTATATGAGGTCCAATAATGTTTAAAAAATGTCGAAAAATTTCCAATCTAACATGTTTTTGTGAATTTAGTGACAACGACATCGATTACTAATATATTTTGAATCATCTTTTTTTTTATTTGTTTTTATTCAATTCTCATTAACAATTTTGATCATATTCTTATTAAAATTAACATTATTTACAACTATAATAATTGATAATGACATATCCTGTATAACTTAACGTCCAGATATCCTTCATATTCTATTGTTGTTCCTCCAGAGTTTATTAACATTCGTATTCATAAATCATTTTTAAATAGTTATCAAGTGTAAATGCTTAAAGATGGCAATTCAGAGAAAAAGTAGAGGTGGAAGATGGCGTGAAGATTCAATCACACTTTGAATCGTTTTGTGATTAATAAAATTCTAATAAATGAGATTGTTTCTTTAAATCGTTAACAAATTAAACATTCCCCAGTATTCCCACAAGATTTGAATAAAATGTGAATTTAATGTAACATATTTTAATTATATTAATACATTAATTAATGGCCTATATTTATTTATAATTATTTAAATTATTAAACAAAAACAAAAAAATTGGATAAAAGTTATTTTGAAAACCATCGTTGTAGTATTAAATATACAATAATCTTTGAAATCTATTCAACCAATGTTTTGATAATTCTTTTACAGATACCTGAATGAGCGGAGGCCACTAAACTGAAGAAGAATGACATAACTATAGTGAGATTCTCTGACATAACTATAGTGAGATTCTCATCTTTCAATTCTGCACGTGTTGGGAAGCTTCTATCTTAGTTCGACAGAATGTGATTCTTATGTAATGTCTCTCTCTCTCTCTCTCTATTCAACACGTAACGTGTTGAGTTCGTACATAAGAATCTCTGTCCTGAACAAATTTTTGATATGAAATTTGTTAATTTACTTCTTCAAGACACTTTGAGAAACAATATTTGTCCAACGCCTGCCGATTGCTATGTCTTTTTTTATGTATGAGAGAGTAATAAAACAGCATTTCTAATGCAAAACTTAGTACTGTCATTTTAAATATTTTTACAGAATAATCTAAATATTTCCTAAAATTGTAATAGCTCAGTTACAAGTTTTGGGTCTTTTATTGGTCCTTTATAAACATAAGCTGTACAGAACAATAGAAAAAGGTTTGGACAGGCCAAAAGCCCTGTGTATTAAAGATTACATAGCCGTATCTTAAGATTATTTTCAATAAGTACCTATTTGCCAATTTTGTTTTATTTTAATTCCAAGAATTTCTTACAGTAATCGAATTATAAGTAGATAAATACCTTCCCAACAAATTTCACCGAAAATGCGATTATAGGTTTTCCATTTAGTAAGGAGGTCCAAGTTGTGTATTCTTGACAGTTTACTAAATGTCGTTTAGTTGCAACTTGCAAGGTGCAGTGTGAATTCTAGTGTGATCATGGAAAATTTGGAAGGGCCGCGTAAACGACAAAAAATCGGTCCTTTAACAGTTAATGAAAAAACATTAATATTTAATTGTTTTAAATCATTTACAGACAAACATTTATGTAAAAGTGTTGATGACACAGTGGAATTATTTAGTAGTACGCTTGGTGTTGGGAAATCTACGATTTACAGAGTTGTTAAAGAAGAGAAATGTGGCGAGTTTCAAACAGCACGTAAAGCTCCAGGAAAACCAAAATTTCAATTAGAAAATCTTTTGAAAGAAAGACTTCGAAGGAAAGTGCATGCGTTCTTCTTTAGAAAAGAATTTCCGACAGCAGACAAAATTCTTGCCACGGTTCGAGATGATAAGGATTACCCTGAAATGAGTCGAAGCACACTATGGAAACTTTTAAAAGAAATAGGTTTTCTATGGAAAAAGCATTCCAGAAAGTCTATTTTAATAGAAAGAAGCGATATTGTAGTATGGAGAAGAAATTACCTAAGGACTATAAAAGAAATAATAAACCAAAGAAGAAAAATATTTTATTTAGATGAAACATGGATCAACGTGGGACATAAACCAAATAAATTTTGGCAAGATGAAACTGTTACAAGTCGAAGACAGGCTTTTTTAAATAATTTATCTACTGGTTTAAGTCCACCATCAGGAAAGGGGCGCAGACTAATAATAGTACACATCGGTAGTTCAAACGGTTTTGTTAAAGGTGGTTTATTGACTTTTGAATCTACTCGTACCCGGTGACTACCATGAGGACATGAATGCTGATGTCTCTAAAGAGTGGTTCGAACAAATTATAGATCTTCTTCCTCAGAACTGTATAATAGTAATGGATAATGCAAGTTATCACTCGAGACTTATATAGAAAAAATACCCACAATCAAGTGGTTAAAAAAAGATTTACAGAATTGGCTAAATTCAAAGAATATTAAGTTCCATCCCGGTTCTTTGAGAAAAGAACTGTATCATTTGTGTTCCCTTCATAAAGAGAAATTCAAAAAATATGAAATTGATGAAATTGCAAAAAATCGTTGGATGACTGTGGTTAGATCACCACCATATCATTGCGAAGTAAACCCGATTGAACTGATATGGACACAGATAAAGGGAGAAGTTTCAAGAAAAAATAATTCTTTTAAAATGAGTGATGTTAAACAGTTGTTTTTGGAGGCTGTAAATAATGTGAAGCCTGAAAACTGGGAAAAGGCAGTAAATCATACGATTAAAGAAGAAGAGAAAATGTGGAACTTGGACAATATTACTGATGAAATGATCGAGCCACTCATTGTAAATATTGGTTGCGACAGTTCATCTTCTGATTTCGATTCTGAGTTGGATTTGTAGGTAAGAAGTAGTTTTTATATTAAAATTATTATTTAAGAATGTAACGTTGTTTAAAAGTCAAAGTTTAAACCCTTATACCTACATAACCCGTTTGACACAATGTTCTTAACATACTTTGTGGAAAAATAAAACATTTTAGAAAAAATTGCACTTTTTTATCTTCAGCTGTTTAGAAGTTATAAGCAGGTTAATTAGGTGAAAATATAAGTGTATACTCGAGGAATAACTTCAAAAAATATTTTAACTGTCTACTAAAAGAAGTGATACGCCTATGCATTACGAACGCTTTATTATTTTAATACTCTCTCATACATAAAAATAGACTATAGTTATGAATGCAATGTTTTCTATATTTTAAAGTGAGGTCATTAAAATACAAAAAAATATGGAAAACTACGCAACTTTAATTGCAAATAAACTACAGAGTATGTTTACCTGTTGCTTGTGCGGTTTGAAGTTTGATATTATCTAAAGTAACTCCTTCCTTTTTTGTTGCGTCAAAATGTTTAAAAACATTGTATATTACTTCACGACTTTGTCCGTTAATAACAGATCTGCGCTTTTTTTCACCCACAATAGAAGACATTATCAAAAATAAAACCAGTCATTTTAACCAAAACACCGAAATAAGAAACAAACAATGATCTAGTCGTTACGCTACTGACCGTAAGCAAGGACAAGGTTCAAATTGTGAATGGGTGTGGCAATTTTTAAGTAAAGGAATTTGAGTATTTGCGCTGGTTCTTTAGATTTGGCGTTTACTGTACCTGCTGTGAATTTCCCCTGAAACTAAACTCGAGCGCCAAGAGCAATAACTATTAAGTCCATACCGAATTATAATCATAAAGAGATAAAATTCTCACTTACTCTTATAATAATTTGTAGAAAATTTAAAAACTCAGTCTATACCTTATAATTGATTAAACCAGGTATAATAGGAACATGTACATAACATACAAAGACCGCTGTCAGTCAGCAAACGACACGACACACATAATTTGCGCATCTTCAAGAGGGGAGCAGTGAGAAATAAGAAATAAGAAAAATACAATTTCATCTAGTAGTTGTAAAATAAACTAATCAAATAGAGACCTTTATCCAACTTACATCAAAAACAAAAAAAACTTTAGCCAAAGCATTGTCGTAAAAATACATTTCGCAAATAATTTTTGAACAAATTCTCAGACCGGATATACCAAAATAATTTTCATCGGGTCGGTTTTGAATTGAAACAGAAAAAGAGAAATTATTATTTTCGACCTCCCCCAAATAAAACCGTTGTTCCAATTTAATACGCGACCTTGTCTGAGCCAACAGTTGACAAGTTCTGTTCAACGTTCTATAATTATAGTTCGGACCCTTCTTGCTCATTAATTAATTAAAAAAGCGCAATGTCGAGTTCAATGTTGGGATATTAAAAGGTTTCGTTCCGTTTGATATGACGGATTAGTGTCACGACTAATAATTGTAGAAAAATAAATTAAAAACGATACGGAATTAAACATGTTCGTTTATGAATGTATTATTTTTAAGGAAAATGACATAGGTAAGTAATTCTAATGAACAAATACGTTATTATGTTGAATAATGCTTCAATGGAGATTTTTGAAAGCATTTTTTAGTGTAGTGTATCTATACCTCATTTCTATTCAATAAAATGATAAGATGCGTACTTAAAATAATTGAAATGAATTAATAAGTAAATAAATTGTTTTTTATAAATAATTCATAGATAATCAAAATTTATTTGAATTCTATCTATGCAAAACAGGTCAAGTGTTTATTGGGTCTTATTACCTGCTTAATTTTCAATTGCCCAAAACGTTGAGTGATTTTAAAACGGTATTAGCTTTAAAAATTCCCAAAATTAAATGCCTGTTAAGCATATTAGGCACCTTTTGTAATGACTTTAGAATGATTCTTGCTTTGGGGAAAACAAATATCTGATTTGTGGAAAGCAGTTAACTGCCTGCAATTACGATAATATATAAAGGTATGTATAAAGCTACAATCTAAATTTATTGCGCCAAGAACAAAACTATCGGGGGCGG